TTCCCGTACTTTCCCACAAAAATTTTTGAAAGTAAATGCGACCCGACTCCTAACACTGAGCGAGCGAAACCCAACGCCTCCCCCTCCTTACATCATCCGCCTAGGAGAATAAACATTTCTAAAAATAAATTTTTCGTAGCACAGTACGTACCCCCTCTTTCTCCTGGCGGTCCATATTACGTACACTCCCTGTGGGGGATTCCACAAAAACGATGTGGCGAACAACAACGGATTATGGCGAGCGGGCAAAGGGGTATACAGCACACGTGAAACTTTTTGGAGAAAACCGCAGATTAAAAATGGCGACTCCACCCCCTTTCATCCTACCTACCATCTTAGATTTTCCATTTCTACCACTTTTCCAATTTTTTTTCGTGTTTCAGTTTTTAATTGTTCATGCTTTCTCAAATTCGCCGCGTGTCGAGGCGAGGGTGGGCGGGAAGGATAGGGGGCGGAGAACGCTAAAAACCCGGAAGGTTAGCAGGGCACGAGGGTAAATTTCTTCATCAAGTTTATCCGCCTTAAGTCAAAATACGGCCTGCTCCGAACGAGAGCGAACGGCCCCATTAATATGTAGATAGCGCCGTGAAAGCAAAATCAAAAAAATCAACTATCAAAAACAGCAGACCAAATACGACCCTCTCTCCTCGCAGCCACCAGAAACGACCTCTCTCCCCTGTTGGGGAATCCTGTGCCCTGGTTTCACCAAAGTGTAACCTGTTGATTAACATGAAATAACAAACGGAACAAGCGAGAGCACAAAATGCCCCTCCCAAGCCGAACAGCGTCAAAGGTATTTGTAGTGGTTTTATGTGGCTGGGGTGCGTCGTACCCAAGCATTCCGCCACATTACACTAGCGCCCTAGTTTTTTTGTTGATTTATGTCAATATCGCCATGTGGTCGTGCATTCCGAAATGCTTTTCCTTGAGCCTGTCAACATAAACAAACCGTTCTTTTCTCCAGTGAATTTGGGGGGTATATGTCCAATCAGTTAGGTTCTTTTTTGCGTGTTGATGCTTAGGATATGTGATGCCGGATCAATAGCCTCTCATCCCTCTCCATAGCGCTAAAAGTGTCCGATTTCCGGTGCAAAGTCGACGTCAGACGTGCAATCGTGTGCGGAATCTGCGACTACGGTCAACGGGCGTCAGCTGTTCTTCACCTTGTTACGTGATTTCTGGCACGACTCTCGCTCTCTTCATTGTTTAATGGACTTCTGCCTATCATCCCGGTGACAATCTGATCGCTAGAGAATCCTGACCACTACTCACCGCTCGTAACATGGCCAGCCTATTTGACTTTCTTCAAGTTAACAAGCAAAAGGCTAGTTCTCCTCTATACTATTTGTAAAAACTCAAGAATTATTACTTCTGATTGAAAAGAAATATGTGTGAAGTAAATATTGTTAATCAAAAGTGCACTGCGATTGGGTCCACTATGAGTAGATTTACTCAAAACTCTAAAGGGTTACCTCGAACTGCGTGGGATTGTTTCTCACACAAACGAGTTTTATCTTGAGAATGACGAATTTCATCATTCAAAACATATTCTTATCACCGAAAGTGAATTACGAATTACGGTTGGGTTTGCATAATGCGTCGTCTGCACGATGTGCTCGGTTTGTTGGAATTTCTTCTAAAAAACAAATATCAGGTGATCATCGCAGTTTCATAAAGTGTTTCTATCCACACATAGAATCTCATGGTTTTTCATAAATAGGCTTTTTTATAGACTTTTCGACCAAAGAAAAGATTTCCTCAAGGGACGATGAGGTACAACCTGCATAAAAGAGCTGAGGCTACACTGCATTCTGGTGTAGATCTTCGGCTAGCAGTTAGATTACCAGCCAACGAAAATCTCGACGATTGGATTGCAGTTCACAGTGAGTTCTTTCTTCACCTATTTGTTTACTTATTCATAAACGCAGAGTCTCTGTGTAAACAAACAACAAATCAAGACATCTTGCCAGTGAAAGGTTATTGAACCAGGTGAACAGCATTGTGGTTGAGACTGAATAGAGTTTCTTTGTTTACTTGTTTGTCTGTTAGTGACAATCGCGCTCGGCAACGTGAGGGGGGGGCATTTGGCACTTTCGCTGCCTCACTAGTTCCGGTTTACAAATCAGTCTGATGAAACCTGTTAACTCTTGTGAACCTGAAGCAAGGCTCGTTGAACCACCATCTTAAAGCCTGTCAACTCTTGTAAGCGCATGGAATAGTGTTCTAGATGG